GAACAAACCAAAGTAAAGTACCTTACAGTTAAGTATAACAAACCAAAGTAAAGTACCTTACAGTTAAGTAGAACAAACCAAAGTAAAGTACCTTACAGTTAAGTATAACAAACCAAAGTAAAGTACCTTACAGTTAAATATAACAAACCAAAGTAAAGTACCTTACAGTTAAGTATAACAAACCAAAGTAAAGTACCTTACAGTTAAGTATAACAAACCAAAGTAAAGTACCTTACAGTTAAATATAACAAACCAAAGTAAAGTACCTTACAGTTATGATATATATATATATTTAAGAAAGCAGAGAAAAATACCTTACCGTTCAATTTCTTGTTTTCCCTTACTAAAGCTTCCTTCTGCTCGTGAAGTTTCTCGTACTCGTGCTGGAGCTTCTGGAGGTCAGCCATCTTGTTTCTTAGCTCCCTCTGGGTGTGTTCCAGTGAAGCAACCAACTCTTCATTCTTGCTCTTGAGTTCAAGATTGAGTTTTTCCAGCTGGGACACACGTCTTTCAAGGTTCTGAGCATGAGTTGTGGCCTAGAAATTTTATATAATACCCAACATATTAATCGTCAACCATATAAGCCAGCTCAGATAAGGGTGTTTAAAAAACCCCATTGCCTTTAGCTTTCTCAATAAACAGACAAAATGAATTCCAATCACTACATTTGATTTAAAATTTCTTAAGTCTTAAGAATTTTTTTTAAGTATTAAAAAACGACTCTTTCTTAACAAGTTCTTAATTAAATTATCTTAAGGATAAAACTTTAACATGGCCTGTTTGTTTGTTTGTCTGGCATAGTATTGAAGACACGTACTTTCTCCAAGTCCATCACCAAGACTTCAACCTCACTCTGCAATCTAGCCTTCTGCTTCTCGAGACTGCTACATTTGTTCAATAAACTTTCCAATTGTTCTTCATACTCGGCTGTTCTGGCGGCCATCTTGCGGCTGAAGAAAACAGAAGTAATGTTGTAAAAGAACTTCTGGTTGATCTCCAGTTACTAATTAATATGACAATTATATATAACATTGAGTAGTGCAAGAGTTCCCCAACTGGGCTCCATTCCGGATGATCTCCAGTAACTAACTAATATGACAA